GCTCGTAGAGCGCCCCAGGCGACCGATGGTTTTACATCAGGATGAATACGCCACATACAGGTGATTAACAAACATTATTTTATATCATCCACCAAATTATCATCACATCTCTATCATCTCTTGTAGGTTAACAACAACGCCACCTCAGTAAATTAGTAAAACATTCAACTGAGTTAATGCCTAAATAACATATTTTAATATTAATAATACATGAAATAACCATTAAAGCAGAAATAAAGATGTAAACTGCATCTCATTCAAACTCGCTTGCTCCTGCTCTCTCTTTCAGCTCGTCAGTCCTCTCCGCATTGGATTATGGGAACTGGCCCAAGTCTCAGCCAAGTTAATTACCCATAACTGGCCCTGAATTGGGCCAGATCAAAATGTAACATTGGAACCAAAACGCAACCTTAAGTAAACCATATCAAGACCAATCTTTAACCAGAAAGCCCAAAACTGAGCCACACCTGAGCCTGATCCAGGTGAACTACACTTGGCAGTCATAATATTTGCCACAAATGGGCCATGAAAGGGCCATGACAGATCCATATCTCAGCCACCTGTATGGCCATAGCTGGCCCTATTCTGGTCCTATACGCTGGACCAGATGGGTTCCACATGTCAGCCTCAACAAAACCATAACCAAGCCACTTGATACACACCCCTCCCAGATGAATAGTCACAACAACGATAGTAGTATGAACAAATATTTAATCATGTTTAATCACCAAAACAAGTTCAATGAATCTCACACATAACATGCTTATTTGTGTTGCTTGGGCAGTGTGTTCACCCTGTTCGAGTATGGCAGTGTGAACTGGCTTTTAAGTGTCTGGTGTGGAGGCTGGATCTGGAACTGACTTCTATTCAGGTTATCTGTCTTCACAAACTGCCCTGAAATACAATTCAAACAAACAATGTAGTGTGAGGCTCTTACATTCACAATCAGGGCCAGATTTACCTCTTATTGTGACATAGGCAAAACAAATTTTTGGGCCCCCCTATTAATATATAATATTACCACCCTAGTAAACAAAAATATTTTGTAATCAGTGGAAACCGTTACAGTGTTTTCTATCGCAATAAGTGCTCATGTTCAGTTCAGTCAATAAAAATCAAATGTCTTAATTTGTTTGAGAACGGAGAACCATTCCATTAATAGGCTCCGGCGTCGTGGCCATATTACCACTTCGGAAATGCATTATTTCTCTAATAATTTTAATGGCCTGGAGTCACAACCACCTCAAGACATTGTTCAGATGATTTATTTCAAAACATCTGTCATGTTTCCGTCTTGAAATCTTTTGTGTTGAAGTAATTTCTTACGTACCTCATCTCAAACCTTCCGTTGCAAATTCCAAAACGTCATTTTAGATCTAATAACAGAGGTTTGAGCCATTGATATGCAGGCTAATGCAGTTATTAGAGAGAGAGAGAATTAAGCACGTGTGAACCTGCTTCTGTGCGTCTCTCAATAGTGTTCAGCAGCAGCGTATACTAAAAGCGAATCTTTAAGTTGATCTGCTTCAAGAACCTCGCTACTAAGAAATGTCATGTGGCTTTTCAGCTGCGAAACTATTTTATTGATAAATTCATGGGGCAGCGCTAACAAGAAGTTTCTGTTCGCATCTCCACGTGTGAGCACGAGTGCGTGTCTGTACTGTGTGTGCGTCTGTGAGAGAGAACGGGAGAAAGACAGCGTGATTTCCATACATAAAAAGGTGGAAAACATGGAAATAGTTTGTCATTTTTACCCTATTGGTTGTTATATTTGTCTTCAAGGGATTTTGGTTCTTTACTGTTGTAAATTGCCCATAGCTTAAAAAAATATGATCTCTCTTCATTGTGTTTTGGCCCCCCCTGGACAAGCGAGCATAGGCACATGCCTAGAATGCCTATGCATATATCCGGCCCTGTTCACAATGCTCATTTTGGCCTCGGTGGTGAAGTGTGCAGAAAATTCTGCCGGACTGAAATTTAGTCTTTGGTGAACAGTCTTCAAGAGTGCAAATAAGATTTTAAGTTTTAAGTACCTTTCAGGCTTGCGTGAGGTTTCCACAAGCAACAAAGTCTACTTGAACAAACACTTCACTAAAGTTTAGAAAATAATATACATACAGACTGTTACAGTTTGAAGTGAGGTACGTTCACAGTACTCTGGTTCCGTCTTACCATTATTAATTTTAATTTCAAAGATCTTTTTTTATTATCATCTGTGTCTTTTTTCGAATTATGATGGACCCCTCTGTAGGTTGTTGTGTATGAAGTGTCCTCAGTGCAGAGTTCAAAAAGATGGCCTTGTAGGACATACAAGAAATATTTGATATTTATTTGATTTTTTTTTTTTTAATATTTGATAAACTTTAGAATGTTTGAGGTTTTACTTACTAGTCAGATGGTTCATAGTGCCTTGGAGATGTTCTTCGACAGGAGATCTGTTCCAGCTCTGCAGCACGGCCATCAGCATGGAAGAAAAAAGAACAATATGTCACATAGCCAACTATATGTAGTATACAATGTCAGGTTTATTAGAAATAAACAAACTACAGCAGAGGTGAAATGCAGAAAAGAGAAATAATAATATACAAAACATACAAAAAAAAAAACAAAAAAAAGAAAGAAACATACAAAAAAATCTTAAGATATCAGAATTCACATTTTTAGGTTTTACAGATGCATGATGATATAGTTGAAATATATTGTGAAAAATGCATAAAGTTACTTAATACGATTTCTCAGATCACCTGTGTTTCCTGTATCTCTGTCAGCAGCTCCCATTACAAATTTTCTTGTAACTTCCCGTTTTAGGGTTTTTTCTGACGCTCCTGAAATCACAGTACAATTTATCAATATTTGTTTGCAAAGAAAGTTCAAAACGTGTTTGAAATAGTTTTAGCCCATTAGTTCATGTAAGTGACGTCACCGATTGACCCCACAGTGCAGACTTTTAGGTTAAATTAATTAGCTTATTACTTCCGTTTATCTATTGACAAAGTACCAGCAAAACATTTACAAACTATCAAAATCGCTCATCTACACATAAAATGTGATTAAAAGCTCAAACTTTCATTAATAAGATCTCAAATCTATAGTTAGCTTACCTCTAATAGTCAGCCTCTATAGCTAGTTAACGGTTGTGATGCTAACGGTCTTTTTGAAGACACTAAACCATTCCTGTAAAGTAAAGATTCAACAGAAACGTATCAATTACATGTAAGAAAAGTGTCAGGAACGGTTGTGTGTATTATTTGTGTAATTTCAGGGACTAAACTTAACTGAAAGCAGAGAAAACAGCAGAGAGACGGACTCTCGCTACTTGTCAGCTGAGTGAGTTGACGCCCCGTTTCCATGGTAACTCCTTCCGC